AGAGGTGTTTTTATTTTTACCTATTAACCAAACCAGCCTCGTTAGGTGTAAATCCAAATTTCTCTTCAAATAAAAGTCTAGTAAATACAAAGATGTATTSATCAATTTATAACATATCAATTTTGCAATATGTAGAATAATTGTTATTCAGATATGTGTTTAATGTACTCACAAACCAAGTCCAACAAAGGGAAAGATAGCAACATAGTATGCTACACAGATGATGAAGATAAGCCAAAGTGTGGCTGGAAAATCTTTGACGTCTTTTAAACTTATAACTTCCCCTATTATTTTAATGAAGAAGAATTAGAAATATGCAATTAGGATTTCTTTSTAAGCTCAATATGTATAAGCCTTAATTACATGACTGTATTGTGTGCGATATCTTTATATGAAATGCATTTTAAAACTGCATTTCTAGGTCAATATACACTACTGTATATTACCAGTTGTTGAATCTTCCTTATGGAGAATCTTTGTWGCTCTTCTGTCTAACAATCCAATAATGGCACCACAAAGCCAAGAAAACAGACAGATACCAACACCTGGAAACAGAGCAAGATGGATTTTACTTGCTATCATTAAAAATAGTTTAGAGTGTAGGTCAACTGGCAAAAATGAAGATAATGAGATAAGGATTGAAGTCACTGAGGCAACTAGTACTCATAAAGCCCTTTTTAGACCGGCAATTTTATCATTATTTTATGAAAAACCCCAAATTGCATGTGTAAACAGACAGTGATTTCATGCTTGCCAGTTCAAACATGCTTGAAATATTAGTACACAACATTTAGTGCAACAAAATTGCTAGTGTAAACCAGCCTAAGATGGAATGTCTCCTTCACTGTTTGAAATTTTATGGCAAAGTAACGAAAKAATTTAGGAAAGCCATTTTATAGAAACCATGCTTGGGTTTCCCAAGTGATTAGTTTGCAATTGTGCTAAATGTAACATCATCATTACAAGAATTGTTATGAATGATATACTAATGTCTGGTAATTCAGATCTATAGTTTAATGTTACTTACTAACCCACAAATAAAGTGAGTCCTAAGGCTTTGTATGCATACTCAGCAGCATAAAACCGGCTAAAGAAGTCATAAATATGATGGTTGACATTCATGTTTACTGTGCTACCCTAAAGAAAGAGAATCAGTTTAAAAAATCAATCAAGAAATCCAGGAGATGTTGTAGGTTCTAAAATGATAAATACCAACAGATGCTATAGGCATTAAATCTTCATGTACAATACCATGTTACCATGGATAATCCATGAAGATTGTTTTATTTCTTGCCTTTTGGATATATTGTTTACATATAATATATCTTATCTTTTCATATTCAATCGAAAACTCACTTSTTCACTTTTCTCAATCAAGAGATATTTACTCAAAAATAAAAACTGTACCTCCACATGTGCATGTAATATTCTCTGTATTTACAAAGATATTATAGTGATTTATCCAGCACCAGTAAACATACTTACTATACGTGAGAAGCTAAGTTGTAGTCCAAATACCATATTCAATTCATTGCCTTTAAACCATGCAACTGAATAAGCATTTTGACAAACTGCTAGGTTTTCCCCTCCAAGGCTAAAACAAAACTATTGTCAGATTYTYYATTCATACTGACTGAATCTTCTCAGTAAAACATGTCATGACAAGAAGTKATTTTTTGTACCTACCCAAATATAAATCGTCCTGTTTCCATKACAAAGTACTTATGTGTRAAGGCTCCAAATGCAAAAACCACCTGTACATAACAATTTTATAAAACRTTCTTGACAACAAAATATTTCATGAACCATCAGTTTTCTAATAACAAACCTGCCCTATTGTCACCAGTGTGCTGAATATCATTGTGCCAAGTCTGAAAGAAAGAAATTATAGTCAATCTTTCTCTTTCCATCCATCTCAACATCACATTTTATCTAATTATTTTGAACTTTTGTTCATTCTTTTGCATTCTGCTATTATAGTGAATAGAAAACAATAGAAAACAAACRAATGGAAATGAGAAATAAGGTCCCAGAAGGAGTTAATATGGCAAATATCTGGGGATTTCCATTCACCTAAATTCAAGAAAAATAACTTGTCTGTAGGAAAAGGACATTTTCTTGCTTCTTTTTATATTCAATAAGAATATTTTTTAATTCCCAAGCTACTTCCAATTTATGTCCTAAGCATGTATGTTGTCTCTACATAAAAGCGGTACATTTTTTACCTTATTCCAAACACTCTATCAATAAGATACCCTCCAATAAAGCACAARATAACATTGGGATATGAGTACAGGGAGTAAAGCAGTACATATTCTGAGGTTTTCTTCTGAAGATCCTGCAATCATGTCAAATTWACAATTTTTCAATCATCAACAGATACACCCTACCAATACAAACTGAAATTTAGACACTTTAAACCACAGTCGTACGGATGCATTATTTATAAAGCATGGTTCACATGACGAATGCCTGAGTACTTACTCTTTCAATCTCTTTTTCTAAGGCTGCCGGGTTGTCATAGCAATAGTAACTACCTGTTGGAAGGATACATAGTAATGTAGTTGGGTGTTTTAAAAATGACTTTTTCTGTATTAAGCTAAGAAAGTAAATGGGATCCAATATTTCATTGTATCAAAATTCATGAAACTGTGAAATATACCAAAAAACACTACCTATGCTTTAATGTTCTTTATTTTACATATTTGCCTTATCTCTTAGACAGGAAGCTCAATTCATAAGACATTAGTTGATAAATTTCTCTGTCATTTTGTGTGCTTTTGTTTTGTTTTTGCATGTTTAGGTAAAAATGTCGAAAAATAAAKGAAAATTGTGAAAGACCAATCAGATCACTCTATTCACTCTAATYTAGACTCCAATACACAGCCATATCCTCGATAATAATAATTCACAAAATATTAAATCCGTGAAACAAATAATACTTATTGGAATAAATAGTGAAAATATAGAATTATCCAAATATGTCATCAATGCTCACAAAGATTTATTGCAACCACATTCTTAAACCTGGCCTGCAGCAGTGTTTTTAAACCTCATGTTTAATATTGTCTTAGAAAACAATCGTAAGGTTATAAGTAACGATAAACGATTTAAAAACTCTAACAAGGTTCTCTGACAATATATTGGCCAAGTGAACTTTGCCTAAACTTAGAACTTTGGACCAATACTCTCAAATGCGAGTTTCAATGACAGGAGTAACAGTCAGGACGCTTATAGCCWGCGGAGGTGACTAGAAATCAATTCTGTGTTTATAAGCTCAACTTGAAGAATGTCTAAAATAATAAAAGTACCATTAGAGAATCGTTGTTACTCAAAAACGTACTTACCAAAGCTGAGAAAACATATAAAAATAAGCGCTACATATCTATGTAATCTACTGCGAGGGTTGCATAAGGGTGAATCTCCACATCCAGACGGTTCTGAGTCTGTAACTTTGACCAAAGGAGTACTTTCGCTGTCCACAGGCGCCATCTTGGATGTAGAGGAGGAAGTTTGTATATCTGATGACTTACACGTGATGTRTGTCACGCAGTATCACTCAACAGCACAGGGCACCCAACAAGGAATAAATAGTCTTTTAATAATGATCCATAAGAAAACAAATCAAAAACGAAAAAAAATAATAATAACTAAACATTTTTTCTCTGTCCGCTCAAACATGCAAACATTTCAACGCGTTGGTTCATAMCGCAGAGAGTATAAGATAATCTTGCGTTGCGTGACTTTTCTGTACGCAGTGATCTTTGCGCAGTGGAGGATCACGGTACCTCTTGGGTTTAAAAGAACTAMGGTCACAATGTGCAAGGTTTTAGAATATTTATTTAAAGTGTACAGACATCGCTTTTACAAGTGCACTTGAAGCAGAAATTTGTCTTTTTCATAGAACGAAAACCTCTTAAAAATGTAATTTAATAACTCTGGAAAAACATATTTACAAGCAAAAAATTGGGGAAAAGTAGAATAAACAACAACAGATAGTAAGGCATCCACAATATCTCTGTAAGGAATAACAGCTTCAAAATGTTCTCTGCATCGATTGGTTTATCTTGAGTGTCACTTTTAAACTTTTTTTTCATTACTGCTGATAACATTGAACATGTTGATTGCGAGAATTTACAGTTGAAAATCTACGTGACATTTCGACTTTCCCGGATGTGACGCTTGTTAATCAGAAAGAAAYGGAATAAAATCTAATTCACGATTTAGTAWTTGCACTCCGCAGTAATAAGAAACAAATCTAAAAGCTCCCACAAGTCCTWGCTCCTAGAAMGACGATTTCCAGATACGGTCTRTGACAGGGGGTAGTACTATGGTGTCAGTGGCATTGATCTTCTGTTCGTCAACTTCTATAAGGATATCTGATAACTACATTTGTAAGTCTATACTTCCAATCCTAATTCCATATTTCATTCATTTCATTTTTCTTTACTCCACTCAGTGGCGTCTGGAGCAGTCAGGAGCCGAAGACAATCTTTCAAACTTGTAAAGCTCATGGAGAAAGATGGCAATGASACGTCATTCAGTCCACTTTATTATGCTACGTATAAATAGACTTTCCTAAAACCAAAGCGAATGGTACGATTAGTTTCTTGAATAAGGGGTGAATTAATAATAGTTTGAATGAATGAATAAATAAATCAATATGATTAAACGAATGGGTAGATAAACTAACAATACTATGAATAAAAGTTCAATAAAGAAAAGAAATAGAAGAAGGAAAAAAAGAAACACTAGTGAATGGAGATCAAGAGCCAATCGTCCTATGCCATAATTACGTCACACCAAAACATCCTTTTGTTTTACCACTAAGGATTATGGGTAGAAAATGAATACAAGCAATCATTGAAAAAATTGAGAGAGAAAATATTAATAAATCCAAATTTCCACTGTTCCTAGGTATTTCTTCACACTGTGTTTGCCAGCTCCAACTTAATGTCTTATTTGCCAATACCTGTCTTCAGGAGTTCGTGTTAGATATTCTCTTTCTATAAGCCCTTCTATTCTTTTCTTGATGATTTGTGGACTGGGCAGGAAACGTGCTCTTAGTTGCTCAGTCACCTGATAACACATTATACAGGTCAGTTTTTCTCTCGTGAAATGATTGACAGKCTATTACGTGTATTACCTCTGCGACTAATAAGTTGTGTGGTCTTTTCTTTCTTGCCTTCATTACTCGGACGATTGCGGCTTCAATTCTTGTTCTGAGTTAAGGTCTGACATTATATACAATTCAAATAAAACTGTATACTTGTACATGTATGGATGGTTGGGTAGAAATAAGTGTATATCTCTTTCTTTTCCAATCTACTGCCTTTCTTTCTTTCTCCCTCCCCATATACGACCAGCTAAGCAAACATTAAAACTTCTATCAAAGTGATGGTGTAAACAGACCATATATGGCACATATAGTTCTTAAGCTTATATTATAATACTTATGAAGTAATTGTATGAATCAAAGGATACTCATGCTTTCTGTCTTCATCAACTTTTGTTCTTGTTTCCTTTCTTTCAGGTTCTGATTCACCTTTTGCTAAAACTGAAAAATGGAAATAACAATAACTTATATAGAAATAGGAATAGATTTGATTATTTTTGCAAAACGTTTGTAAAGTACAAAGAAACTATTTCCAAATTAGAAGTAGAATTTACAGTGAAAACACTTACCTGTTTGAATTTTCACTCTAAATAGTTTTGACGTAAATAGATCATTTACACAGAATACATCAGTAGGATCTAGTAAAAATAATATTAGTGAATAAAATGAAATTTGACGCATTACACTGAGGTGGTATTCCTTTGTCATGATGACAGGGACTGGGACTTACTCATTTCCTTCCCTTTAGGCTCTTTGATAAGAACTCTTTGAGTTGCCTTTCCACAGGCAAAGGACTGGAGTGCTCTGTTAAGATCTCTCTCTGGTATTAAACTGTCTTGAGCTATTTCCTGATGTCAAAAAGGAACAATGATTGAATGCATACAAGATAAGAAGGAGTTATTGCAGAAGTGTTTTGTACCTCATAGGTCAGTCTTTCCTTKGAATTAAACAGCATTAGAATACACATTTGATATGACGAAACCTGGAATATGTGCTTTCGTATTTGAGTATCCTCCTAAAGAAGAATCAGTCAAATATAGCATCAAGACAAAAAATGACTTAAGATTAACATAGACATGGTTTGATTTCTTGTTGCAGTCTTCAATCAAAAGGACTTTGTACAACAAACTCACAATGCTGAAAAACTGAGCATACATTTAAAGTAGCAAACTAACCTTTTTAAGAGGTGGAAAACTTGCATACAGTTCAGCAGTTCCCTGGAATTAATCAAAATATATTTAATAAATAATAATGCAATTAATGTGTCATGTTGTAATTAACATTGAATTTGAACAWGCTGAGTTCGACAAGAAAAAATACTCACTAATTGAGGCTGAAGTGTAAGCTGTCTTCCACTATGACATCCTAAATAGAACCTATTATCAAACAAAGATRATCAGTGTTTGAAATATTATTGTCAACCCATCAAATGAGATAAATGAATATAAGAGAAAATGKATCAGGAGTTATTGCTGAGTGTCCCTAGCCAAGTGAGGTAGCCAGCTTACCAAGGCAAATCACATACATCTCTGAATTCAATTCCAGAACAAACTGAACCAGAATCAAATAAGGGTCCAAGCATCAGACATCACCTCAGTACACAAGTAATACCTACTAATACAGGAAGTGTGTGTTACCTTCTAAAACAGTCAAATGCATGCTGAGCTTGAGGTGGGATGTTACAATTATGGTTACCAGACTGTGTTGGCCAGAATCCCGTGGTAAGTACACGCACAGTTAAATCTATGCCCATTAGACTTATCTGAAGTACAAACATGAATCATTCAGAATTTGTATAAAATAAATTTTTAAGGAAATACTAATACAAACCACAAGAATGATACTAGTAAAGCTACCTAAAATTACTTCTTGAAATTTCTAACTTGAGTGATTGAGTGTTGTTCAGTAAAGGAATTCATATTGTTTACCTGGTTGTTGGATACRTGAGATCTAAATTCTTCATTGGTTGAATGGGATAATGTCATATCCTTGAACATCCCTTCTAGCTTTGAAGTGAATTGACARCCACATTCAGTCTGGAAAACACACAAAAATGTATTTAATTATGAAAATAAAATCAGAAAGTCACCGTTAAACATTAAATTGTACTTCTAAGAAGTTAAAACAATTATTCATATCTAAACACACACACTTATACATGATTTGTATTGAAAACCAACCTTCAGTTTGGAAATCATATTTTTTTCTGAATCGTCAGAGATACTCTTTTGTAGGAGTAATCTCTTGGCCAAGTGTTGTTTATAGTACCTCTCAAATACATCCTGAAACAAAGACATCAAAATAGATTACCACAATATTTGATATAACATGATACTACACAAGACAGGCMTCGCCTGTGAAGCAATTTCTCCTTGCTTAAATATTCATGTCATTATAGCTTTATTCTAGCCACAGGAGTGTGATGTCRCTATTTATCCAAAAAGACTAATCACAAACATATCACATGAATTATAGTATTACCTTCTCCTGAAGAAATCTGAAGAGGACCATGCATTTATCTAGTATACTTTCAACTTCTTGCTCAGAGTACTGTAATACAAAGATGAACCAAGGTCATTCAGGAACAGTAAACAATGAAACATCGCAATACTTACACCCTTGACTCCTTTCTTGAGTTTGTCGTCAATAAAGAGAGACAAAAACTCTGGTGATCTACCATTGAGATTCAGGAAGTGTTCAAATTCCTGTTAACAAAATGATTCTATTGATATTTGTATACAAGAATTATTAAATAGTCATCATTATAAAGCGTCATCTTTGTTCTACTATAGACACAACTGGAATACTTACAGATCCTATAGCTTGTTTAAATAATTTGTTATTGTTGAATCCATTGTGAAGAAAATGATCAAATCTGTCTTTAAGGCTCAGTAGATTCTACAAATAAACACATTCATTGTTAGATCATTTCATTAATATTTTGAAAGTTAGAATTAGGTTGCTACAGGAAGGATAATAAAATTGAGTTATCAAAATCAAGGATCAATACACGCATTGCATATGTTTTAAACACATGATATTGATAACTTACTTGAATACAAGGAATAGGATTTTTAGAGCATTCATTGTCCTCATCTGCCATGATTGCTTTCCCTTGTTCTCTGAGATATCCTCTCATACATTCACAGATAGTTTTAAGACCATCTTTCACACGATAAAATAGCCTATACATTCTTGCCAAATCTGAGAATGGACAACAATTATGCAATGACGTTGATTAATTAAAAAAATAATAATAATACAAATATGTCACAAACAAAAATTAATATAGAGATCAATTTCTTACCGTCAATTTTGTTATGCTTTAGCATATGAACTACACCAGAGTTTTCCATTTCTACAATAGTTTTCATATGATTTCTTATTAATTCTTCTTCTACAACCTACGAAAACAAGAAAAAAGTCAGAGCAAAAAAAAAAAAAGAAATGTACAAAACAACAACACTGCAGAAAAACATTGGAATACAGCACTAAAAACTGAAATCTTTTCCAAAATACAGCATTACCTTTACAATAGATTCTTCTGTGCTAGGATCAAGGTAATGTTTAGCTCTTTCAGACTCTTCATTTATTCTTTGCTCAACCTTATTCAAAAAAGAATCCAAGTTACAATAGCCAGCATAATATTATAACATTACAATAATATTATAAATCTAATTCAATTTTATACATGTACTTTAGATCTACAGCAAAAATAAAGAGCTTCACTTACTTTTTGGATATAAATTGAAGCACTGTTTTCTGCAAGAAACTTTTGACCTTCCAACTGCATGTACAACGAATAACTTACATCAGTCTTTATATCACAGTAAATTAAGAACATTAATTAACTCAAGGAAACTTTACAATACAAAAAAATTATCATTATTTTTCTTTGGTTTAGGAGTATACCTTATAAAACTCAGCTGATTCTTCTAGAAATGGTGATTCAAAATCCTCTTCGTAGACCACTCTTGAGTCAATACCCAGAATCATCAACATTTGACAAGCATTTCTTATTGCCATTCTAAAATATTTGACATGTACAATGAAATTACAAAAGGAAATCACAAGGACCAAATGACAGCCAGACTTACCGATCAACTACTTCGCCTTTGCGTTCTTTTCGCACTAGTGTCAATAAAGTTTGGCAAAGATGATCTCTGATATTACCATATCGAACAACCTAGTAAACAATATAATTATTATTATCAAAGCTTTCAATATAGATAGCAGCATTATGACTAGAGCTTAGCGATTTTCCCCATGAAGTTTATAGCAACAAAACTGAATCAGTTTTACTTCATAACTTACTTTGTCTCTAAAGAGAATCAGGCCTAAATTATAGACATTATCAACACCATTTTGCTGTACATAGACTCTATCCTGAAATCCAATTCAAAACTAAGTTTAGATTTMCTGTATATAGCTTGTAAATGCAGTTTGTTGTGGACAATGTGATTCAATGTTTGGGCTTCCTGTGGTACAATTATAGATGTAAATCACCATGACTACAATACATTAAATTCATTGCTTCATAACTAGGTATTTACCATATACATAAGAATATCACGTATCATAACCATCGACGTCTGGTGATCATTCCAGGCAGCATTCAAAGTATCTAGAAAATTATTACTCAAGGATGCAACTACTTCCTTGCGAATCTGAAAACACAATAAACATATTGATTGACACATGCCTGAAACTATCATAATGACTGCATGCATCTATTCTTTACCTTCTCYTCCAAGTGCTCAGTGACTACTATCTTTAAACCATTATATAGTCTTTCTCCATGTTTGTGCAGCACCATAGTATAAGCGTTTCTAGAAAAATCATTTGATATTATGATACTATTTGAACTTTTCACCCTTTACAAAAAATATTATACCATAAAATATTATACCATATCATAAGAATTTTSCAGCAAATGGAATAAAACAGCTAAGTTTTACAGGAACTACATCTTAAAATGTTCCAAAGAGCATTTCCAAAAATTGCACTTCTTAAATGTGCATGTAGTTTTTGTCCAATGTTATTACCAAAGTTGCATTTGAAGCTATAAATTACCTGTAGAGTTCTTCAAAACTAAGGCCACTATTGTTTTTCTTTTGAATTTCTTGGATGGCATTTTTTAAAAGATTCCAGATATCCTCCACATACTTCTCATCCATAGTCATCTATTGTTGGGAAAGCATTATTGCAATGTTAAAAGGTTAACTGGGTACAAGCCAGTGCATTGTATTTCATACTTTTACATGTTTCAACATAAATGTTTGATACAAAAACTTACCAGTATGTTAATGTACAAAAAGTACAACCTCATAGACATTATTATCATTACTGATATTTGAAAAGCAAAGCTACTTGAAGTCATTATAAAAAACATCTTTATACCAATATAAAGTGAAAATCAAAAATATATAAAATTTCTATTATCCTTTTAGTATTTACATCCTGTCTTGAAGGAAGTAAACAAATCACAATGGGAATGCAAATGTGCAAAGGAAAGTATACAAATCCTATTCTTGCAAATGCACAATATGAATAAACATGCAACAAAAAATCTAACTTTTTGATGAGGACGCAGTCAAAATTTTACAAGAATACAAGGTTCAAGCGTTGCAGGGTACACATATTACACTTTTTACATAGCGTTCAGCAGGCCAATTAAGAAGAACATATCTTCAAATAATGAAAAAAAGACGAGCAGATATGTGTGAAGTGCTTACTGTGCGACTAGCTTTGCTGAAACCACAAAACATCAATGTACATCGGACCTTAAATGGGCAACAGGTACAACATTTTAAGGGCTCAATTCCAAAACCAAAATAGATTTGTGTAAATGACATCGACATTTTTCATTTTTCCAGTAAGTAAATCAACATATCAAAACATACAGATAACTTATGCACAAGGTACATGGTAAATATCAAATAAATTTAGAGGAGGAAACCTACCGGGAACGCCCGGATTCTCATTTTCGTCGTCTCCTTCTTGCTCGTTCTCAAACTCGACATGGCGGCTGCTAGGGTCTGTTATGACAAGAACTATCGACTTTGGTAAGGTTCCTGAGGATCTGAAGTTAAATAACGATGACCAATACTAGATAGATCTCTAAATTATCAATTCACAAACGCCTATCGTTGTTTTACTCCATCTTCCTTAAATGCAACCGACTTTACTAACGGGCTRCCATAACTTTTCCTTGGTCGACAGACGACTTGCCACCATTTATATATCCCAGAATCCTTTTGGATATGACGTCATGGGCCTMACCAGCGCRTGCGCAGAAGTTCGTAAGCCGAAACCATCAACAAGGCCTGGCCGCTTATTCATGTGTTTTCGATTTTCATCGATTGTGGGTTCAACAACTTGGCACACGGCATTATAAATGACTTASTTATGTCTTTCAAGCGGGACGATCTTGC